AAAAGAAAAAAAAAAAACCCTATTTAAGGTTAGTGAAATCATGATTAGCCACTTTTCTTCTCCACTCTAATTTTTTTTTGGTAGCTCTTGGCCTGAATTTCAAGTTCAGCTCCACTTCTTCCCTTTTCCGTGCCCAAATTCCCTCTTCCATAAAAATGGGAGTAATAGTAGCACTTAAGTCATAGGGTTGTAATGATTTAATGTACTTAATTTCATGTAGAATACCTACAACAATGCTTGGTGTATAGTAAGCTTGAATAAATGTTAGATATTATAGTTGTCACCTCACAAATTACACATCTAAATTAACATAACATGACATGCTGAACTAGAGAAGCAGCCACAAGGTGTCTCTGATCTCCCCACTCAACCTCCTGCCTCTCAATCCTCTGCCTCCCCCAAAACACAGGATAAGACTGTTCTTTGAAGTTTCTTATCTACCTAGAAACCAGACCCATTAAAGAACACAATTGCTTTCTATCTCCTTCCTCCCTAAAATTTCATTAACCAGAAGAAATTAAAACATATCACAAAGCCAGACACAGTGGTGCACACATGTAGTCCCAGCTACTTGTGAGTCTCAGTTGGGAGGATTCTTGAGGCCAGGAGTTTGAGGCTGTAGTGTGCTATCATCATGCCTGTGAATAGCCACCACACTCCAGCCTGGGCAACACAGTGAGACCTGGTCTCATGAAAAAAAACTCACATCACAGAGAAAGAGACTGAAAATTAACCACCACACTTAGAGCCCAAACTTTGCCTCAAACTACTGTTTTTTGTTTTTGAGACAGGGTCTCACCCTATCACCCCGGTTGGAGTGCAGTGGCGAGATCTTGGCTCACTGCAATCTTGCCTCCTGGGCTCAAGTGATCCTTCCATCTCAGCCTCCCTAGTAGCTGGGATCATGGGAGTGAGTCACTCACCCCTGGCCTTCAAATTATTGTTGGTTCTCTAGTTTCACTTGGTTTACAAAGAGAATAATTTACAAGTGAATTTCTGCATTAATATCTCCTAAAATAATTTACTACTCCTCTAAAATTGCCTGTAGTCCCCCCACCTCTCTCCCCTGTGAAAAGTATTTAAGCTTCAACCATCTGACCCTTATTGAGTTTTCTTATTTTGTTGTATTGTTCCCCATGCTTATGCACATTAATTTGTTAGGCTTCTCTCGTTAACCTGTCTTTTGTTATAGGCATGTTGTCATGACTCTTGATGGGGAGGAAAGTGATCATCCCCTTTCCACCCCTTCATACTGCACTACCTTTTCATTTCCTAACCCGTTTGTAGGAGGCTACTGAAGTTTGCATTAATTTCTTCAATAGATATTTATCCAGACTAGTATAATCCAGGTGCTAGGGAAACAGTGGCGAACAAGACAGGCACACCTCATGAAACTCACAGAACTGAAAGGTGAATGGATTACTATCTTCATCCTTTTTTTGTTTTGTTTTTTTCCCTTACATACGTAGTCCTGCACATCCTTAACTTCTGCAGTGTGGTATATGGGAACTGGATCCGCTCCTAAACAGGTATGTGACTTCTCTATCTTCTTCACTTAAAAATTGCAAGAATCGGCCGGGCGCGGTGGCTAATGCCTGTAATCCCAGCACTTAGGGAGGCTGAGGTGGGCGGATCACAAAGTCAGGAGATTGAGATCAGCCTGGCCAACACAGTGAAACCCCTTGTCTACTAAAAATACAAACAGCCGGGTGTGGTGGCACGCACCTGTTGTCCCAGCTACTCAGGAGGCTGAGGCAGGAGAATCTCTTGAACCCAGGAGGCGGAGATTGCAGTGAGCCGAGACCATGCCATTGCTCTCCAGCCTGGGTGACAGAGTGAGAGACTCCATCCCCCCACCAAAAAAAAAAAATTACAAGCATCTATAAATAC